CTCATCTCCTCCTCAGTGATGTCAGGAGGAAGATTGCCCACAAAAAGCCGGCTACGTTGGGTGAAGGTCTTCTCTCCTGGTTTCCTAAAATTCTTCAGGTCAATAGTCAAGCCTTCATTTTGGCTGCTGGCTTGTTGCCCATTTGCAGGTATTGGTGGCAGTGGTGGCTGCTGCTCTTGCTGCTGGTGGTGATGCTGATGATGCTTCCTTGGATTATGGTTTTACTTCTCCAAGTTAAAGGTTTTATTGCTCTGCATTTTTGCACCCCTCTACCGACTGTTCTCAGAATAACGGCGATGCTACGTGGCCTCTACCATCCCGAGAAAAGCTCAAATTGGGTTATTTTTTAAAAATCAATTATTACTGAGTTGTAAGAGGTCTTATGTTCCATATCAGATATACATCTGCCAACATTTTGTCCCAGTCTGTGGCTTGTCTTGTCCCTTTCTTGATGTTTTCATTTAAAGCTCCAAAGTTTTTAATTTTGATGAAGTCAGATTTATCTCTTTTTTTCTTGCTTGTGCTTTTGGTGTCATATCTATGGACCCCTTGGCTAATCCAAGGTCATGAAGATTTGCTCCTGTGTTTTCTTCTAGTTGTGGTTTTAATTCTCACACTTAGGTTTAAATCCCTTTGAATCAGTCCCTATGGATCATGTGAGGAAGGGGGTCCACTTTGTTCCTTTGTATGTGGTTCTTTACTTGTTCCAGCAACATTTCCTGAAAAGACTGTTGTTTCCCCCTGAATTGTCTTGGCAGCCTTTTCTAAATCAATCGACCATAAATACAAGGTTTATTTCTGGACTCTGAATTCCATTCCGTTGATCCAACTGTCAGTCCTTATGCCACGACAACATTATCTTGATTACTGTAGCTTTGTTGTAAGCTTTCCAATGAGAACTTGTTAGTACTCATTTTTATTCTTCTGTTTCATGAGTGTTTTGCTATTCTGGGTCCCTTTCATGTCCATGTGCATTTTAGGATGAGTATGTCAGTTTCTGGGAATAAAAAAAAAAGGTAGCTGGGATTTTGATAGCGATTTCTTGACTACGTAGACAACCTGGGAAGCCTTGCCATCATAACAATATGAGTCTTCTGATCCATGCATATGGGATGTCTTTCCATTTCTTTAGCTCTATATCTCTTTTTTTTTGGTCAACAATGTTTCATAGTAATGTGTATGAGTTTTGAACTTCATTTATTAAATGTACTCCTCTAATTATTTTACTCTTCTGATTCTGTTATCAAAGGAATTGGTTTTATTTTATTTTAGGATTGTTCATTGCTACTGTAGAGAAATGCAAGTGGTTTCTGTAGGTGGATCTTTCATCCTGAAACCTTGCTTAACCTCATCATTTGTCCAAATAGGTGTTTTTTTTTTAAGTGTATTTTTTGAAATTTTCTAAATACAAAATCATATCTCTGCAAATAGAGATAGCTTTACTTCCTTCCAGACCTGGATGTTTTTATATCTTTTTGTTCTTTAACTACCCTGGCTGAAGCTTCCAGTACAACATGGGACAAAAGTGGTAAAAGTAGGCATAATGGTCTTTTTACTGATCCTAGTGGGAAATCCTTCCATTTTTCACCACTAATTGTCATAAGTACACGTTTTTCACAGATGCTCTATCAGGTTGAGGAAGTTCCCTTCTATTCCTAGTTTGGTGAGTGTTTGTATTATGAAAGAGGATTGGATTTTGTCAAGTGCTTTTCCTGTGTCCATTGAGATGATCATATGGTGTATGTCCTTTACTCTCTTAATGTTTTTATTATATTGATCTGTTTTCACATATTTTAAACCAACCTCACTTTCCATCCCATTTGGTCATAGCATATTTTTTTCCTATGTTGCTAGACTTCATTTGCTAAGATTTGTTAAGGATTTTTCATCTCTACCCATAAGGGATATTGATATGTAGTGTTGGAGTATTTTTGTTTTTGAGATATCTTTGATTTCGGTAAGAGGGTAATTCTGGCCTCATAGAATTCATTAGTAAATGTTCTAACTCTTCCTATTTTTTCGAAGAGTTTGTTAGGCATTAGTGTTAATTATTCTTTCAGTGTTTGACAGAATTGACCAGTGAAGCCATTTGGGTTATGGGCTTTTCTTCATGGGAAGTTTAATTGCTCACTCAATCACTTTACTTGCTATAGATCTATTCAGATTTTCTATTTTTTCCTGAGATGGTTTTGGTGGTTCATGAATTTCTAGGAATTTGTCTCTCTCATCTTTATCTTGGCTCTCTCTATAATTGTTCACAGAATTCCCTTATAATCTTTTTTTTTTTTTATCTTTGTGAAGTCACTATGCACACCTTTTCTTTCAGTATTGATTTTAGTAAATAGACTCTCCTGGGTTTTCTCTTGGGCAGTCTGTAAGTTTGTCAATTTTGTTGATCTTTTAAGAATCCATTTTTGTTCCATTGATAATCTATATTGATTTTCTGTTCCGTCTTTTATCACATTTCTGCTCTATTCTTTATGATTTCCTTCTCTTGTACTTGCTTTGGGTTTTGCTTGTCTTTCTTTTTCTAGTTTGTTAAGGTTTGTTTTTTTACTACTCTAAATTTCCCTTAAGACTGGAGGAGATTCTGCTAAGTGAAATAAGGCAAGCAGAGAAAGTCAATTACCATATAGTTTCACTTATTTGCAGAACTAAAGGAATACCATGGAGGACATTAGGAGAAGAGAGGGAAAAATGAAGGGGCGGAAATCAGTGGGGGAGAGGAACCATGAGAGTCTATGGACTCGGCGAGAAACAAACTGAGGGTTTTAGAGGGGAGGGGGGTGGTGGTGGGTTAGCCTACTAATGGGTATTATGGAGGGCAAGGTATTGCATTGAGCACCGGGTACTGTACGAAAACAATGAATCATTGAATACTACATCAAAAACTAATGATATACTGTATGGGAACTAACATAACATAATAAAATTAAATCAAATTAAAAAAAAAGAAAGTGTACTTGGTATGGTTTCCACCTTAAACCAGTGCCCTTTGGAGGGTCATAGACCCACTGAACGTAGAAAGAAGTTCCCCTCTCTGAGTTTGGGCTCCTGCTGGCCCCTTCACCAGGCACCACCTCTGGGATTGTCCGAGGGCCAGGATATGAGAGAATGGGGAAAACAAGAAAGAAGAAAGAAAAGGAAGCCCAGTGCACTGCTTTGCAGGAGTCCCATTTTTCAACCTTGAGCCAAACCTAGCAGCTTCCCCTGCACACTCTCTGCCTGTGCCCCCACAGCTCACATGTGGGTTTCCAGAGACATACGATCCAGGCTGTGGCACTGGAGGGATTAAAAGGACTTTATTCTCCTTCCCCTTCCAGTGAGATGTACTCTCAACTCCTTATTTTAAGATAGTCCTCCCTTCTAGAATTCTGCTGGGTTTCTCTCACCTATCTTCTCGGGAATTAATACGGTTCCTCTTGTGGAAAGATAGCTCTGCCCCCAGGTGACCAAAACTAAATGCTAAGTTCAAGCAAATAACTTTAAAAAACAAGCAAACAAAACCACTTTTCTCCAAGGGCAACTCATTTGTTGTCCAATTCAGAATGAGAAGAGTTGCCCGATGCCACCTTACCAGAACTGAAGGTGCTCCTTCACAAACCCACTGTGTGGAGCTTGGGCTTGTGGCCATACAGACATGAAGACATCCTAGCGTGTAATTGGCACAGACTCTATTCTCTACTAACATCATTGATAAGAAATTAAGGGCAGTATGCTGATATTGGAACTGAACTATGTGGAAAGAAAATTAAGTTGTCATCTCTGTTGACCAAAATGATGGACAAGAACGGGTGGAGGAGGTCTGCACACATGGAGATGACCATCTTCACCCCATGGCTCCACGTCCCCTTGCCTCTGCGCGTGTCTGGGTCCTGATGCCCTGGTCTTGCAAGGACACCTGTCAGCCTGGATTAGGGCCAACCCTGGTGATCTCAGTTTACCTTATTGATCTCTCTCATAGCCCCACCTGCAGATACAGTCCCTTCTGTGGCTGCAAAGTATGACTTCGGGGAGGGCGCTGTTCAGCCCATAGGAGTCCCATTCCTCAAGTCCTTGCTAAGCCAGATGGATTTACGATCTCAGTTCAGGATGTCAGGATCTTAAATATTTCCTCTTTTGGAGTCACCATTTTGAATTTTAAGTGTGAGCAGAAAGGGCTTTCAACTAATGAGAACTGGGATCAGGCTACCTGGTTTGGGCCCATGATGAAGAAGAAGATACAGAGCAGAGCAGACAGAGCAAACCTTCCAGCAAGGTGTCGGTCACCCTGTCCCTGAATATCAGTTACTCAGGGTCTGCGGCAGGATTGGAAGGCAGCTTACGCCCATAGGAACCCTGGACACTGAGAGCTTCAGGGGCCTGCTGGTGATTCCTGCTCAAGGTCTGTCCCTGCTGAACTATATTAGCCCAGTTTCCTCCCAGGAGCCTCATAACTGTGGGCTGGGGATAGGGCACCCATGGGGACGCTGTCAGCCCAGGGCAGGGACTCTGCCTGCGTCTGACCTCTGACCATGGAGGAACAGAGGAACACAATGCTCAGGGAACAAAGTCAGACTTCTGCCTTGCACTCTTGCTCCCAAACTCAACTACCCCTGCAACACCAATTTTATGGGTTGAATTGAGCCCCCTGCCCCCAAAAGATGCTAAAGCCCTAGCCCCCAGTTCCTGTAATGTGACCATATATGGAAATAGGGTCTTTCCAAATGATCAAGTGAAGATGAGGCCATCAGGACAGGTCCTAATCCAATATAACTGGTGTCCTCCTCGAAAGGAGAACTTCGGACCCAGACATCACACAAGAAGAGGCACATGAAGATGAAGGCAGAGATTGGGGTGATGCCCCTACAAGCCACAGACTGACGACACCACAGATTGCCTGGGGCAGACCCTCCCTCTCGGTCTCAGAAGGAACCCACCCACAGATACCTTGACCTCAGACTTGTGGCCTCCAGAACTGTGAGACACTACAGTTCAATTATTCAAGCCACATCATTTGTGGGTGGTTTGTTATGGTGGGCCCAGAAAACTGATACACGCAGAGAAAATGTTTTTCCGTTGGATCCTTTCTCCACTCTGCTGAAAATTCACCATCACACTTGGGATAAAATCCACCCTCCTTACCAAGACAGAGAAACCCTGTGTAGCCTGGACTTTGATGACATCTACCCCACTTTATGCCTCTTCCTGAAATGCAGTGCACTCAAGGCTCAGTGGAACCCCTTCTCATCCACAGACACATCAGAGCCTCTGCTAC